AAAAAATTACACGATAAGGAATCAGCTTCCGTCGCCACCGCCCACTGCAACGGTTGCACTGGCGGCAGTCGGCTGAGATGCCTTCAACTGACGCGTCTTTATGAGAAAGTGGTGGCCTGAAAAAAAAGAGGAAAAGGAGTTAGAGTTTTGTTAAACATTTCAAAAGCTCGTACCTTCGCAGTCGAGCACCTCTTCGTACGTCTTTATGCGACAGCACTTTCTGCACAGGTCATATGGGCACTTTAGCCCCTTTGGATTGGGACACTGTGTGCACAGTCCTCTGGATGGCTTGGGGACACAACGCGGCGGAATGGCTTCGACGATGCTGCCAATGCGAAGCTTCTTATTGGGGTTAATTCTCTCCATCCGCTTCCGTTGACGCTTGGAAATTCGCTGAGCAGCGAGCGACTCGCCCTCTGGCCCCTCTTCAGTTGCCTCCTTTGGCTGATCACCATCATTGTCCACTGCTGACTCGCCGTCTTTATTGGCATCTTTTGAGTTGGACTTTGGCGGCGATNTGGCTTGGGGACACAACGCGGCGGAATGGCTTCGACGATGCTGCCAATGCGAAGCTTCTTATTGGGGTTAATTCTCTCCATCCGCTTCCGTTGACGCTTGGAAATTCGCTGAGCAGCGAGCGACTCGCCCTCTGGCCCCTCTTCAGTTGCCTCCTTTGGCTGATCACCATCATTGTCCACTGCTGACTCGCCGTCTTTATTGGCATCTTTTGAGTTGGACTTTGGCGGCGATGGGCGGTAGTAGGGCTTGCAGAAGAAGATGGGCAGAGTGTCCGGGTTCGGGTGAGGGCTATCGGCAGCAGCAGGTGAGTATTCGCCCATGAACTGCTCATAGTCAGCCTGGTACCGCTGCTTGAGCTTCAGCGCCACCTCTTCCAGCGCCTCGAACAGACGCGTCTTGGAGACGACCTCACGCAGCTCCTGGTGCTCGTCTAGGAGCAGGCAGTGGTGCAGTATCTTGAAGAGGTGACCTCGAACGAAGGAGAAGGAGTGCGGTGGGTGCTGGCGTGCCAGTTCAATGTACTCCAGTGCGGCGTCCCACACGGTCAGCGGCTTGCCGGAGAAGAGGGCCGGATTGTGGAGCAGGCCTTCCGCAGACATGACGCCTTCACAGGAGGTGGTCGCCAGACACCGCTGAACATCGTCCAGAGACTGAATGTTCCCGTTGGCGAAGACGGGAACGCTGACCGCCGCCTTCACCGCTCTGATGTGCTCCCAACTGGCCAGTCCGGTGTCTGCGCCCTTCTGCTCTCGGTAGCGGCCGTGCACACCGATCAACGAGGCGCCCGCACTTTCAATCATTTTGGCGTATTTCACCGTCTTGTCGATGTTTTCGAAAATGCGAATTTTGCACGTTATCGGTTTGCCGACTTCTTCAACAGCCGTTTTGACTGTTTGGAAGTTTTAACATTAGATTACTAATTACAGCCAAGCTTTTTCTACAAACCTATTTCATGAACAAGCTCCCATTCGTCTTGCAAGAAGGCTCCGTAGTGGCCTCGTTTGGCAATTGTTTGCGGACAGCCTAAATTAAGGTCTATTGCTTCGCAGTAGGGAGCGGCAAGTTTGGCTGCTTCGGCAAAGATTTTAGGTGAATTCGCGCAAAACTACACAAAAAAATTATTAGTTTTAACTCCTAAAGTTACCAAAAGTTTCTCCGTATTACCTGGATTATCATCGGTTGATCAAGCTCGGGAAGAACGTGAAGACAGTCTCGTCGATACTTGACGTCTTTAACGAATAGTTTGGCATTCCACATCGGAGCATAGGTGCACTCTACGTTGTATCGTCGAACAAACAGTCGGAAGGGCAGTTCAGACTGATCGACCATCGGGGCGAGGATGAATTTGGAAGATTTAAGAATGTCACGCCAGAAGAGCTGGCCGGCATTGACCGAGCTCACTGACGGCGGCAGCTGAACAACTGCCGATTGCTCTCCATTTTCCGCATCATGCTTTTCTTCGCAACTTTTCTGATCAGTCATAATTAGGTAAAAGAGTCAACTAGGTCAATTTGATGCAAGATTACATAAGAAACATTTCAAAACACAAAAAATAAACAAGATTTTTTGCACAACACGTGACACGCGTGCACTGCCTAACCGCAGAAGACGTACTGCCAGTTCAAAAGATTCTTTTGAGAAGATCCAAAATTCATTAAGTCTAAAGTGTTTTATTGCACCATAACCATTTGAAAGTGTAAAAATATAAAAATAAATAATGTTGAATAGAAAACCCTAGATAAATCTGATATGAAAACAGCTGTTACACCCAACACCAAGAGTGTATCACTTCATCACAAGTCTGACGTAATTCAGTGGAATAAGACCAATTTTTATGCTATTGGGCGGCTTCGTTTTGGGATTTGAAGCAACACAGGCAATGAGCCACTTTGATCCAGGCTGAAGCGACTCGGGCTTGACGAAGAAAATTTGGTTCTTACCAAAGCTGAGCTCGTTGCTGTTCTGTGCCTTGTGCTCGCGAAGAGCAACTGCCACGAAATGCCGTCCTCTGCCTAAAGTCCACTCGGGAACGTTGGTACGCGGTATGGGACCGGGAGCGCCAAGAAGGCGCCAGATAATGTACGGAGTGCCCAAGACCAAGGAGAAAAACAAAAATATTGGCCACAGTGGAGAGCTAGGTCCTGCCGAATCGTCAGACTGTGCCAGTATGCGCTTTATGTCTTCGGGGGAGAAATCCTTTGCAAGCGCTTCCTTCCAGATTTGCTCATCACCACTTTGTCCTAACCGTGCTGCCAATTTGGAGTTGCCAAGACCGACCAGATGCAGCAGCCATCGACAGAACNTCCTTTGCAAGCGCTTCCTTCCAGATTTGCTCATCACCACTCTGTCCTAACCGTGCTGCCAATTTGGAGTTGCCAAGACCGACCAGATGCAGCAGCCATCGACAGAACCGGGCCACAATTTGAATGACACGCGGAATGAGCGCAATCTCTGCCAGGTGGTTTCGGACAAAAATCAGGTGATCAGCCACGCTGGTGATGGTTCGAAAGGAGCCGTACACTGCAGTGTACGTGCTTTCCAGAATGGTGTTGATCGAGGAGACAGCATCGAGAATGGCCTCTATGGAGCTAAAGGTCGAACGGGTTCGCTCTTCGGCCAGCTTCGAGATTACCCCGTGAGCAGCTGGATCGTAAGTCAGGTTGTTCCGACGCCAATACTGAGGCGGTGCAACACCTCCGCCAAAACCACCACCACCGCCAATCATTCCACTTTGAGGCGTTTGATTCATGTTCATCAGAAGTGAATTCAAGTGAGCCCTCGAAGCGTTCAGACGTGCAATCTACGAATCAACAGGTAAGATTAAAACTACTGCATAATGCCAATTGGTTTGCACAAACATCGGCGTTGTCGGGCAAACTACTGCTTTTCTTTGCATTCTCCTCTTGAAGCGCCCTGATGTGTTGATCAATGAGCATTTGTTGCTGTTGTAGCTGAGAAGGAGAAGAAGAGATCCATTCTCGGTTCTACAGAAAAGAATCACCGTTAGCTTTGGACTGACAAAAAATAGCTATTACCTGTTCACTGGAAGCGTTTACGGGATCCTTCCCCAGAAGATCCATGTTGCTGTTCGGTTGAGATTCCTGTTTCTATGAGTATTTGGTGTATTTTTGAAGCCAGGAAGGCAGGTTTGATCGTTTTTACCAAGGTGTTGACCTGGCCATCCTCATCAGATTGCACTGTCACTGGCCGATGTTTGTTTTTCCTCGTCAAAAAGTTCCCTCGTCAAAACCCCCGGCAATCTTCCCGGTAAAAAGTTTTGAATTTTTGAAAAAAAATCTGACAATGGAACTTTTTATTTTTTTGTTCTACTTTTTCACAGTATTTAATTGGCAGATTACCCAGTGTTCTCAATCAATTTTGTTGATGTGTCATTTATTATCGACTCCTTACTTTAAACTCATTTGAGCTCATGGAAGACGAGGAAAATTACATCAAAGAGGTTGCTGAGGGAGAGGAGGTGGTTGGAGAAGAGACGGCCGGAGAAGAGGAGAGTGAAGGTTAGTGATACTATTTTTTCGCTCTTGTGGATTCGCTTTTACAGCATCTTTTGTTTGCAGATACTGAGACGGAAAAACAGGAAGAGGACGAAGAGCCAAAGCCGGGCTTTTCATTTTCCAAATCCGCCATTGCCGATTTGCCCTCCACGGCTGTGCAGAGTATTCACATTGAAAATGAAGGTCCAGTTGAGGTGGACGACGACGTTTTTGTCTGGCACGACACCAAAAGTGGCACAAAGCTGAAAGTGAAGATGAAGAAAAAGGTGAAACCAAAAGCTGCAAAGCTGCAGGCGCCACGATCACCCATCAAAATTGCCATGCCACCAGCAAAGCAGAGGAAGCAGAAGAAGAAAAAGGTCAGCGGAGCAAAAATGATGCGCGGCAAAAAGGTGGTCGCCTCAAAGAGTGCCGCAAAGCAGAAGCAAACGTGCAGTAAACTGGCGCCAAAAACTGCCCCCAGCAAGGGACACTACAAACAGAAGAAGACGCCTTCTTCTTCTTCTCACACGGCCACCCCCGTTGAGTCGAAAGACCGCGTGAAAGAGCGCCGCTCAAGCCAAATCAAATCTGCCGCTAAATCAACGCTGACAAAGGCGAAGAGCAAGGCTCGCAGCAGAACCAAAATGAGTCATAGTCGCGAAAAGAAGACCAAGAGTCAGGAGTACCAAAGAGATCGCCGTTAAGGCTTTTTCCGTTTGTTTGTTTGTAAAATAGTGAACAGCGATACTTTTTATTATTTTTTTCTGTTTTTACCCTGCCTGCTTACAAATGTTTCGGCAAATGACCTTTTTCAGATGACGCATCTAGAACTTTGACTACAAAGTAGAATTTTTTAGCTCACTTCCTTTGTGTCTAATTGTTTTATTTTTCTCGTTTTCAAGATTGGCATTTGGCAATGGAAAAAACAAAGCCCACTATATCAATGGTTGCTCTGACTTGAAAATCGTTGACGTGTTTTCCAATAAAAGCAACCTAATTAATTACTGTCTCAAAAAAATTTCAGTGCAATTATACAAAAAATAAGTTGCAAAGACTGTCATTCTGGAGTAATATAAAAAACAAAGTGACTATTTAGCTGCAAAAAAACTTGGTTCATTGTGTTAATTTATAAAAAATGCTGCTTTTAAAGCCTATTGTCAATGTTTTAAAACCTATCAAATGTACTCAATTTTTAAATGAATATTTTCAGTATGTGTATCTCATTAAAGAATGTCACAAAAAAAACGTAGCTTCCATGTTTAAAATGGTAATTTTAATACAAATTCTTAAATCTCTTCACTTTTTATACTTGTTTGTTACGTCGCCTCAAAGTGATATTGACTTTCTTGTTCACTACGACTTACCAAAGT